CTGCGAAGGTATCAGGTTGGTTGGCTGCTGGCCTAGCCCCTGTCTCAGAACCGAGAGAGCATTCGCTGGCGGGATGGACGGGACTCAGGCTAGCAGCTGGTAGACAGTTACAAATTGGTACCCGTTTGTTCCGACTTCGTGTTTCGCCTGGATCAACGGTGGATCTAGGCAGGCAAGTGGCTTTTGAGTTAGACAGGACAAGAGAAGGCGTGGCCAATGGTCCAGGTGGGCTGGCAATGACGTTCTTGCCCTGGGGTCTTGGGTACGGGCCAGTACTTGTCTAACGGAGGGCTCAGGTACCTTTTTTTTTTTTTCTTCTTTTCCAGAACCGCCCCTAACACGCCGGAGATTAGGGCAAAGGCGAGGCCACTATTGGAAAACGCAAAATTCAATAGGCAGTTTGTGATTAATAATTAGCTGCCTCTACGATGTCAGGAGCTGTTGGGATTCCAGCTCCTCCTTCAAACCATCTGTGCCTCTCTGGTCTGAGTGACGCCAGGTGCCAAGACCGCTGTGTGCATTATGTAATTACTGCCAAAGGGAGCATGTGTCACAAGTACCCAGATCCTTTCTTGGGCAGGGTCATAAAAGGGACGGCATGGCATTTGGGCATGTATCGGGTTTTTTTCATGGCCAAAGTACAAGTAGGGCCAATGCCAAGAACGCCATGTCTCAGCGGGAAAGGAAAGCGAAGGTACAAGCAGATCTGGACGGACGGGGGGATCGGGGCGAGACCAAAGCAAAAAAAAGCGAGTTACTAGAAGGCCGGAGAAGAATAAGAGCCAGTGCTGGCAGATGGGATGGGCGGGTAGGACCAGGGGTGGCAGTGGGCGAGTCGTGCATACGAACTTACGAAGCCGAAATGCATGTCCAGGGCAGTGGATACGCAATGGGCAGCCGTATATCCTTCCTGCGGCAGCACCTGAGCAGGTATGTAATAGGAGGTAAATGAACGCCCAGGTTGCTACACGGGTTTGAGAGTTCGTACCTCCCGACCAACGCGGAAGGAGGGGTTTCGAAAACCCCGATTCTCTTGAAAAAAAAATCCACTGTAGCACGCACTATGTCGAAGGGTGCAAAAGCAAACCCACAAACCCGCGTATAACAGCCCTCAGGGATTCTAAACGGGCAGCCAGGATGTGGCCGTGTCATTAGCTGTCAAATAATATAGCATCAGTGCACAATACGACTGCATACATATAATTACAGGTCAACAATATGAACAATAGCAGAGGTCAGCATTGTTGGTTGCCTCAATACCAGTCGCCATGGCGCTATTAGTATTGTCCTGTACCTTGGACTAGTAGCCCCCATATTATTGAATTGACTTTGGCTACCTCCAAGTTACTGGTTGGTGACATAACTGCTAGAGTCGCCAGCCAACACCGATGATCCTGGAGAGCTGAAGTAATCACAATGCTAACTCACACGGGCGTCTCGGGGAGGCCACAGTCCGAAAGGGGGATGGGGAAACGAAGGGATATGGTCCAATTGCAAACTGGCTGTAGGAAAAGCGCTGCCAGAAGAGATGGGTTTGCCTGCTCATCATCACGTCAGTCTCTCCAGTAATTGCGGCTGAGGCATCGGGCTAACTCTAACTAGCGAGCCCGTTAGCGCGTTTGACACAGCGTTTTAAACTGGTGCGCACGCACATATGCTTCTTCCACGCAGCGCTCTCCCCGGACGTTGCTCCGTCGTTAGTTTAGTACCAGTTCACTAACCCACTTCGGTTTAAGGAGGTGCCAGCAGTGGTCGCCAGCAAGTACTTCCAGGTAGCGCCTGCCACGGTCGCCCTCCCCGAATGGTCGGGGCAGGAGCTGTTTTGTGTCAGGACAGGGCAAGGTATCCATCGGTACCGTTCATACAGTAAATAGCGGAGGAAAGCCGCGCGCACTCAGCGAGAGGAACGGCATTGCCAACTGCCTGCCAATGAGACGGGCCCGTACCCGCACAGGGCGACACCGATGGGAGGTGGTGCAATTCGGCAGGCAAAAGACAGCCCAGAGCACCTGCTAGCGCTGGACCATCCGCACCGGCCGATCAAAGCAAGGCACGTAAGCGACAGGCGGCCGGCATTGAAGATGGATTTCATTTCCCTGTCTCAACGATGCATGGCTTCGTTGTCGCAGAAGTGGCTGAGAGCACAATGCAATTCCAAACAACTCCGTATTTATTTTGGCGACAAATTAACCATAGACGGGGACCAGGTAGCAAGCACCGAGGTGAACTACACGCAGTTCGCTCCCCGGTCTCCAGTTCTCCGCTTTTGACGTAGAATCTAACAATAGCACCTGTAACACTCTCGTGTTGTACATTGCAGGAGGAGCAATCTGGAAGAGCATGCTGGTCCGAGGCGCGATTGATTACAGCGGTGGGTGCGTATTAACCTTTTTGTGCAACCGCTCCTCAGCATGCAGATGCAGCATCACAAAATGCGATTGGGTCCTTTCCCGCCTCCTCCTTTCGCCTCTCGCCTGGCCCGTCCGCCGAATTGGAGTGAGATGCCGCCGGCCACGTTGACGCTTGGTTGGTTTTACTTGGCTGGCCGCTGAACCATCCACACCCCCTGTCACTCACTGTCCTTCCAGCGACCGCAGCCTTGTTCACCCTTGCCCCGGATCGACCCCAAGGTAACATTCCATTTCTGCAGGCTGGTAGCTCCCAGGTACAGTACCTACAAGCGAAGCCACCCATACGAGATTTTTCAGGTTGGTGATACATTATATATCTAAGTATCTCAACTCACGAGGACGCACTCAGCCAATTTCCGCTTGGCTGTTGGCTCGTCACAGGATGGGGGCAGTCTCAATTCAGCGTATTCCCTCCACCGACTATGGGCACTTCTGAATCACGAGAGTCACACACGACTTTTCGCGACCGGCTGGCGGGATGGTGAGCTCTCAATGCCCATCTCATCTTGCAGCGCATGCTACCAGCACACCCCTCCATGGACCAGGGGGGACCGAAAATCTCAGAGCCATCCTGAAAAATTGCGGTCCACAGTGGATCTTCCGTCTTATACGGATCTCCAATTCAGTTGCGAAACAGCACGCGACAAGAGCACAATGAGGGGAATAAGAACCGCCACTCAGTAAAATACTGAGTGATCGTCCACTACGCTCTTAGCCAAGACGCCTGTCTGACAGGCAAGATGAACATCTACGTCACAATGGGGAAGTACTCAGACCCATGCCGCTTGATCAATTACGGCTCGTGGTCGACATGACAAATCGGACGTCTTGCTACAGCACCCTCTCTGACTTGTGTGTTATTAGCATATGCTCCCTGCTTTAAAGCTGCGTGTGAGCGTGTGGATGGAATTCGACGTCTGGACTCCGTCGAGGGGGACGAGGTGAATGGACCCAGGGCATCGACGGAGAATTTCCCGTCCCTGCATGGTCTCATTCTTGCCCGACCATGATAATGCCGACCAAACGCCCTGCAAAGTCCCGAGAGAAGGGGGACCGGAAGCACATGAGCGAAGTCGAAGGGGCAAAAAAGGGGTAGCGAAACTCCCGACACACTATTCGTCATCCCGCATACCAGCTGTCAGTGTTTGCTTGCCTATCCAATATATCGATCGTTCGGGGCAGTTCCTAGAGCCCTTTTCGCTTCACCGGCAACCAGTCTCCAGCTAGCCCAAAAGTCAATCCAGCAGTCTGGACCCAGGCCGCGTACGAGTGTCCTCAGGGTAGGCTGCACGTGACGACCTGTTGTCATAAGTGCCCAGCTGCAGCATCTGCTGCATGTCTTGCTAATACGACGCCACACCGCAACATCTCAGCAGTGTAATTTCCATGTTGAGAACTGATGTATTTCAATTCTTCCTGCCCAAATCCTGCCCTTTTTTTCAAATACGACTCAGCCTATTTTTTAATTGGTACGGCAGCGGGAACCCCGACTTGTGCGTCCTCGGATCACCAACTCCCGTCACGTGCGAAGCCTCAGTCAATGGCACGACAATGCTGCTTTTCGTTGGGCACAGTCAGGTCAGCAACTCAACATGTCCTCCGTACCCCACAAGCCGGGCAGTTCCACACTGCCTACGTATGTAGTGCTATAACTCGCTGTAGCACGGAGCAGCCACTCGTTCCGTGGGCCGAGGTCAGCCTCACTTTCCCTTGATGACGATGCAGCTTGGGGCATGATGATCAATGGCCCAAGGCGGTGCCATTCTCGTGCCGCTCAATGACTCTTGACGCCTCTCTGACTACGCTCTAATCATTATCGTCGAATCAGCCCATTATCAGCAACCGTGCAGGCTTACTTCCGGCTGGACAAGTACCATGGACCAACGGTATACTTTATCAGATATAACTGAATCCATCTACCATTGTCCCCTACGCTACTGCAGGCCCTTGTCAAGCCTGGACGGAAGCCACTCCCGCGGCACGGCAACATCTTGTCTTCCCTAGTCATGGCACAAGGAGACCTTGCATGTACAGCCACGACGCAACACGTAAGCTTATATAACTGCTGTGTCGGAGCTCCAACCCATGACTGCCCGATCTATATGTGAACTGTATCCAGCGCCGGCGGTCCCACATTACATAACATCTACTCCCGGTCATGAACATAAATCAGGCGCTGTTTATATGCAAGGTGCCCATTCTGTGTACTCTGGCAAGCCTGATATCCAGCCCAACTCAGGACCGCCTTTCCGCCCAACCTTAATAGCTATCCTGCAAGTCATGCAGATGTAAACTTTCGTCAATGGCATTTCTGGCTTACCTACGCTGAGAATAACCTCCGGGAGTCTGCTCCACGAGTGGCATGGAAACAGGCCGGTGTCGAGGTGGCAAGTGACGCCTCATTCTATTCTACTCGTCCGGATTCACTCGGCTCCGGAATCAAACTTCCAGCTGCTGATCTCATCTTTGAGAAGCACACTATTCTTAGTTGTAAGATCGACGGTAAGAACCTACTACATGTACGCAGAATCACGTACCTCGTTGGAGAAATACACACAGGGTGGCAACTTCCATGTACTCCTCAAGATACTACGTTGAGCGGCCTCCGGCGTAGAGAACATAACTTGACGAGGGCAGTAGCATTTGGTGAGCCATAGTTGTCAGTTTGTGACGGTGTTTGAGACCTAGTGGGCGTTCATTCTTTCCGCTACTGCAAGCTTTAATGAGTGTATTGATATCTCTGGCATGGACATTGTGTGCTTCGATGAGATAATTCTTCTCATTAGCCAAGTTCTTAGTTTCCCATGATAGCATATTGGTCTTCACATCAGCACGACGAGCCAAAGTGACTATCATGCCTTGAGTGTCCAGTTGCGTCCATGTTGGTTTTGAGAACTGAAATCACGAAAGGCCAGGAAATCGGCCCAGCTTGGGAAATTCACCATCGGGGTTACTGGGCTGGTTTCTATCAGACTCAACCTTCATCATAAACGCCATAATGGCTGGCTAGTTCGACCATTACCTTGAATAAACGGACCAAATGCTCTCTGATGTAGATGCGGCCTACTTGCTAAGCTTTATTCCGGGTCACACTTCGCGAGCTTCATCTCCAACTACAAGGAAATCCATCGCAATGCTTTTGCTTTTTTCGCCTGGATGCCAGCATGCGACAGACCCTCTGGGGCAATTCTCCATCCGAATGGTCTCCTCCGACTCCGTAAGCCCCATCTACGTAGCCAGGGATTGATAAAAGATTTCTGAGTACTGAAAATTGTGTCTCCGCTCGGCGAAACGGAGTTGCGAGAGAAGCCATGGCTGTCTATATCAAGGTCAACGAGTGGCGTTGACGGGCCTCAACCCGCTTCCCGAGCCCGATGTTATGGCCTTGGACCCGCGCCGTCATCGCTACGAGAAATCCATCATGGATTTTACCTTCAGACTGTGACGGATTCTTCATCAAGCGCTGCCGCCTCACCTCGCCCTTTCCGAGGGCGTTTCGGACCTTCAGAGTCCGGAGAGTCGACATGGCAGCAGCGGCTCGATTGACATAAATTGCAACCTACCCTTGCTTTTCGATTGTTTAGTCACACTTGCGAACTCTCGGGATTTAGAGGTCGTGGTGCTGGACTCTGCTGCCTTGTCGTTAGGGGATGAGGATCTAATGGCCGGGCTTCATTTCACCCTTCGTCATACAGCAACAGGGTCACTGATAGAGCGTGGCATGAATGGATTCAGAACATTAAACGTATATGTAGGGTCATGAAGCCTTACCCGGAACGCATTTTGTCCTTCTCCCACTTGATAGCTGCCGTCGTCGGCCTGGCCCTGACTGAGGTCTACAACTCAAGATCGTGCTACACCAGAAAAAAATAACCTGAAAGTCTTCGTTCTCAGGATACCCAAAGCCGAAAGCACGGGATTTCAGGTTAATTCTGAATTACTACATGTTGTATATACAATTGTCTAGGGGCTCCATACTCAATACTCTAAGCACAATATTCCAAATTCTATGCCTACTGCTCCAGATTTCATCCTTGGTAATGCAAGTTCAATGTTCAATGTTCAATTCTCCAAGAGTCATACTAGAGTCAACGTCTGATGCTCCAAGTTTAGCCCTCATACTCTAGGGTTTTATGCTCAATGATTTAGGCACGATACTCGAGGGTCCACGCTCAAGACTCCAAACACGATCCTGCGAGAAAAAAAATACTCAAGGCCCGGATCCAATCCTTCTAATCTACATGTAACTTTCACATCGTCACCGTGTAAAACCAAACATGTGTGATTGAATAGGCAACTGGTATTCCCCTTACTAGTTTAAAGATTTTCCATGTTGGGAGATTCCGTACCAACATGTACCGGACGCACATTGACCAGAAGGAAACCCAAGCGCAATAAATGAAATCCATGCACTCTACTGTACGGTGCATCTAAGCGCGAGCTGCCGACGGTTAAAGCAGAGCTCATAAATAAGAAACAAATTTCCTGGACGAATATGGGAGCAGATGAAGCATCAGAGACACACGGAGGTAGCCTATGATTATTCAATGTCTACCATGTAACATTTCGGTCATGTTATCACATGACGCGCCGTGGTTTCTCTCATCTATAGACGTTTTCTCTAACCCGAGGAGACGAGACACCTATGGGAGAGTGGCCCCGGTAGCTTCTCTACACGTACAAAGGAAGTCTCCATTAATTTTCCAAGGAACTCTTCCTCTCCACCGTCCATGTGATTAGACCGAGAACAATCATGCTACCAAAACTAACGTTCTTTCACTAAGGCCCCCCGGTCCCTGGTGGCGTGCCTGTTCATAGGGGGGATTGGCGACAGGAGTTTCTAGGCGGACACATAATGCTAACCAGCCGAGTGTCATGTCAAAAGACAAGGAGTTTCTTCAAGCTTGCGTCCTTTTCGGGCACGGCCTCCCACATGTATATAAAGGAATAAGAATGGCACCTCTCTCAACTTCGTCAGTCATCAAGAATGGGATGACAGCATTGCAGGCTTGTTTAAGGGTTGCTGCTGACCAATTTTGACTGGCATTATTCGGAGGTCACCTAGGTCAAATAATTCTTACATCGTCTCAGGAAGGAGCTATAGATTCAATCCAATGTTGGGGGTCTTCTAACATTACCATTCTCGAACAAGGGATAGTTTAGATCTGTATCTAAATTGGTCAAACGTCCCAACCTGCCAGCCACTCGAGATGACAGACAGGCCAGCACTATGGGTGTGTCTATAACAACTTACGGGCATTTATTCCGGGATGGACTTCCTATTAAGTCATGCAGCCATTATCCAGCAGATGGCACCCTAGGCTCATGAGAGCTCTCAAGGGCTGCCACAGGCAATATGGTCTTGCCTTAACCCAGTCCCAAGGAACATGCTCCATACAGCATCCCCTTATGTGTGGCCTTGACTTCCATACGAACTATTTTCCTTTGAAAACCCTCATTTGCCTACACCCGTTTTAGCTCCCCTTTTCAAACCAGACGCCCATGTAGGCAGTTTCGGAGAGAAGTTTCCAATTCAGAAGATCATAATTCACCAAACCATGCCTAACGAGAGGCGCACGAAAGCCCCGAGAGGTTGTCTCTCAGTGAGTGAATTGGCATTCTCTGCCTTTTGCTCTCCTTTCCCGAGAGAAATTGACGGACGGACAAGGTTTAACACGTCTATTCTTCACTAGAGACAACTTCTAGCCATGAAATCATGGAATGGTAACTGTTTCTCAGATCTTGAAATCACAGGGCTTGCTGCTATCGCTCTGCTGTGTGCAAAAGAAGTATTCCAGCAGCGGGTGTAGGGAGGCCTGGAACCTATCGACCGCAGAACCTCCAACGAGTCATTCTCTTATCTGCAATGATATGTTGATCATTCATATCGACAAGGACGACCCTGTATCAGAGGGCAAAACACAGCCACCAGCCTGCTTCCTGAAGAGCAGCCCAGCGGTTGGGAAAACCTCGTTTTCCGCATTTCAGGATGCCTCTCAAAAACCATCAACACTCCCATCCTTGCCGGGAGAGCACCAATCTCGCGTCCCAGCCCCGAAATCGGTTGCCAGAAGCCTCAAAAAGCCTCTCCTTCACCGGGAATGCAATCAAGGCCCTGGTTGGTCCAGAGAAAGCGGATCAACCCACACACACTCCAGTCAGTCAATCGTAATCCCTGCTCGTGAGATCCAATGACAACCCCTGTTGAAACCAGCCAATCATACCGGGCATTTTCACCGAAATGTGCAAATGGAGTCGTTTGGAGATCGTGTAAGTCGAGCGGCCAGTCTAAGGGCCCATATGGGATGTCGAGTTATAATTCTCTTGCGTCAAAGCCACGTCTTTTGATCCGTTTGAATATTGCACCAAGATCCCTTGGGAATATTGGGCATCTTCACCTTATCGACAAAGACATTGGACGCAGAAAGCTGCAGGCTTTGATTCGGGCAGCCAAGGTTTCACCAGATCCCCGTGACTTACACACGGATATATCAACATGGATTTCGCCAGGGACTTTCCCCAAATCGGTCAAGAAAACTCTCGTGTTCACTCCTCTCCTGACCTGGATGAGCTATTCCACTCTTATTTTGACTGGCAGGCTTACCTCAACGACACTGAACCCTCCCCCAGGGCCTCCCCACAGAGCCTCAACAAGCTCATCACGGAGATCTCTCCGCTTATTGACAGCATTGAAACCCATCGGTTTTTCAGGATGAAGACTTCGTTCGGCCCTGATGAAGAGGCGGTAACTGCGTCCGATTATTCGGGCCATCCCTCCCCACCAGAACTTGTTCAAGGGGAGGGCAGCACATCCCCTTCTGATCACTCAGGTCCCATCCTTCCTGACAGGATTGAGGAAGCATACCACCGTCCGGGTGCTAGCCTCAAGGAGTTCAGGGCCCAGGATGATAAGTGGACATACCCTCAGACAGAACATCCCCAGCCTGCACTTGTAGCCTATTCGCCCAACCTGCGCGTCGCCGAGGACGCTACTGTGAGACAGGCCGGGCACAGTCTCGGGCTCAAGCGTAGACGTTCTGATCAAGCTCCTGAGAAGAGACCACGGCACCTTGCACGCCCTGAACAGGTGGCCGACGTTCGGAAGAGTGGAGCCTGCCTCCCATGCAGAGTGTCCAAGACCCGTGTAAGGCAGCCAACCTTAATGTTGTTGTTCCCCAACCAGGAAGCTAAGACAGTCTCAGTGTCACGAGCATGGCGTTTGCCCCACGTGCAGGAAAGCCTTCCCGAAGCATTCCCACCTGGCTTGTACCCGTATGAACCTTGCTGAGGCATGGCCCGTTATTAGCAAGATCCCTGGTACGTGCCGCCGTTACCCTCTCCGAGATGGGGTAGTGGATTCCCACCTCGCCTCGTCTGTTGCACTATTGTTTCTAACAGAGCATGACCTTGGTATTCAGATGTCTGGTCCAAGAGTCCCGGAAAAGAAGAACATTTCACAGTAAGCCCTCATCTCTTCACCGGGAAACCAAGAGACATACAAATCTTCTTCTCCCGAGATCATTACTCGCCAATGCTGCCGGCTTCGGTGCAAGCCTATCGGTGGAGCAATGAGAAGGAAGACGGGAGACCTGAGAAAGCTGCGTTCGCCCGCCATGCCATGCCTACCCATGAAGACCTGGTCTGGTGGGTTGAGAACCAGGTCGTGTATGAAAACACTCCAGGCTTTCCCCACTCAGTCCACAGATTCCTCATTGCCTATTCCAGGGGGGGAACTGGGCTCCCAATGGTACGTACTATGGTGTATCATATAGCACTCCATTAACCAGAAGGCTGGGTCGTAACTAACAACATCACAGCATGGCCTAGTGACAAGGGTCAATAAGATGGCCTGCTTCTTCCGAATCTGGAAGTCATCGTCATTCTTATGCCGTGACCCATCTGGGAAGATTACCAACCTTCCGCTATCGGTCCAGGCTGAGCTTCGCACAATTGCGCGAAATGCGTTGCATCGCATTGAACATGATATTCTTAAAGACCTCGACGAGTGTCTCACGCCAAGCCGAAGCCCCAAGCCGGACGACAAATTGGCGTTGTGGGCAGCTCTGTGGCAGCTCTTGTTCATGTATCGTGAACTCACTTGGTCTGTGACAACGATGATGGCACGCCATGGCCAAGGATTGGCAGACCCTCAAAATCGTAAGTGTTTTCCAACCGTCGGCTTAGCTAGGTTGAACATGTGCTAATATGGAGCGGGCGTGTAGCACACAGATCCCCGATTGAGAATTTCTTTGGGGTCCTGGCAATCTTCTATCACTGCCACTTTCGAAACAAGAAGAGTTTGGAAGTGTCATTGGACTGGCTGAAGGCTCCAGGGTACCCAGCTCATCTCTGCAAGGCAAAACAAGCTCTAGGTCCGTTGACTAAGGCGATGCTCGACGACAGAAAACCGTTTTGTGAGTTTGATATCCAGTGAATTGATTTTGAGGCTCGTTCGTTTCTAACAAGAGCCAGTGCAAAAACTTCAAACATCCGAGCTTCCGGTTGACCAACTGCTATGTGTCTTTGTGGTGAACCATGAGCTAAAGAAGCTCAACACGCGATCGCGTGCCATAAAGTCATCCCAAACCAAGGCAGCAACGTTGATTGATGATTGCGATGCCGAGTAGACTGAGCTTGACTTGGTCCAGCGATCTCGTTCTTCTTGCTCGTTACTCTTGTGTGAGGGGAAGTATAACGACCGATGTTTTCTTTTTGGGTTTCTTATCTCCATTCTTGAGTATTGATTTAAACGGGGAGGAGAGTCCTTCCACATCAACGGAGCGGAGGATTTTTGGGTGAACGCTGATTGAAAGTTGAAGACTGTCCTTCTCATCTGGCACCTTGAGAAGGCGTGCTTCAAATCTGCTCCATGTCAGAATGAAATAACGATTAATGAACTTGAACAAGATAGGCTATTGCGAATTTAACTTACCGTATTGACTTTTGCAAAATTTCAACGTTACTTGGACGCACAGGGACAATTGTGACTAATGCGTTGGCAACCGCACCAATGTACAAAGCCCAAAACATGGCTTCCTTGCTGTACCTCTTTAGAATGCCTCCGAGTAGCTCTGCCAACTGGGCATCGACAGGTCCCATGCCTGATCCCCATCTAGCTGCAACAGTTGTGCCCAAGAGGGCCCTAGCCAGATGGCTCAGACCGGGAGCGTCAGCATCACGGCAAATAGCATAATGAAGACAAAAAGAAGCATTGGAGTCAGCCTCGTGACCTGCCCGGGCCCAAATCTCCTTGATAAAAAGTGACCGAAGTCCGTCAGTATTGAGAACTGTAGGGACTTGATCAAGCTGAGCTTCAGGTGGTATGGCCTTTGCGAGGAGGCTCGCCACTGCCTCGAACAAAGATTTATCGCCAGTATCCACGTTTGCTATCACATCCAGGGGGTTGCTTTCGCGAATCTCTCGAGGCAGTTTCATCATCAAAGCACCATCACGGTTTGATCCTTTGCAAAAGGTAACATGCCTCACATTTGGCACGGCTGCTGAGAAGGCCTCCATGACAGTCGAGATGGCATCAAACTGCTGCCGGCGTCTCTTTGACAGCCCGGGGATTTTTCCGTCATGGGTATCATTGATGCGACGCATCTCAGTGACCTTCTTGAACGAGGCTCCGGTCACGGTATAACTACCAACCGAGGGAATAGGATAGGGAGATATCTCATCATTGTGCATGAGCATGCTGCCGTACCCTCGGCAGCCACCACCGCACATGTATACGTTGACTTTGGCATCTTCGCCCCTTTCATAAGCCTCTCTGATTTTCTGTAGCTTGGGAAATTGAGAGCACAAATTGTCGAACGCAGCTTGCATAGAGACCTTGAGCTTGTCTGACTCGGTAGACTGGACGCCCACGTCGCCTTCTCGGAATACTCGGGTGAGCTTTGCAGCTCCAAATGGCATGCTGTTGCCGGCACGGGCAGCAAGGATCTCATAATCATCGAGCGAGGTGTCGACCCAGGTGATCTGAACACTGCCACCGCCAAGGTCCAAGAACAAGGCGCCATCACTAACATCAGTCAGGCCGCTTCTTGATCCCATCACGGCCCCGAAGAGAGTTTCCACGGAAGGCTCCAGGATCTGTACCCTGAGCCCACCCGTAGCCTCAGCAATGGCGGTGAGCATGGCAGCAGAGTTGGCAGCACGACGCATAGCCTCGGTGGCGAAGACCATGACATGCGATGGTGGAACATGGTGGAGGTCTGCCAGCTCCTTGAACTGCGCCAGCGTCGACGAGACTGACGATATGGTGGACTGAGGAAACAATAGTTCACCTGTACCAGAGGGCTGCAGGGCATCGAATAAGGATATCCCAGCACGAGAAGAATATATGGGGGCGAGCAGCCGCGTCTGAGGCGGTGCTAGTGATGTTATGGAAAATCGAATCCCATTGCTGAGGACGGTCAGCACTGCCGCGACATGGCATGGCACAAAAACGAGTGAACCACGCAACTCTTGGTCAGATGTACTGACCTGCCCATGTCTACAACGGCATACAGGTGATTTTCATCATCCGGGCTCCATTTTGGTATCGCCTGGGCGAGATTGTCCAGTGTGACGATATCCAAGGGGCTCATGACTGTCACTTGGAAGATGAAGGTTTGATCGATCTCTGGGGCTTGCCAAGTAGTGTACCTCCTATCTACGAATCCTGGGCGGTCTGAACAGGGGACTGGTTGGGCCGCAACTCTTTCTCCGAATGATGCGCTGGACGGGCTTGGCAATATTGGATGCTGAGTGGACAGGATGAAGTGGCCGCTTGACTGCTGGAGTTGATCTCGCTTGGATGTAGGTTTGACTGTACGTCAGTCTATATTGCTCCAGCTTGCTGCAGGATGAGTTGTGGTGGCAGGTGGGGCCGATTCTGTGTGCTGGTTAGGTCAAGACGGGACGCGTGCCTAACCAGCTGCAGGTACTAGGCAAGGACCCGCGGGATACTTGCATCTAGTGGAGAAAAGCGAGGGACGCCAGGTACCCCTGCTGTACGGCCCTCGTATATCCCATTCGAGCTTGCCGCAGAGATACTCCTACCCTACACGGGAATTACCAATCCTCAGAAACTGAGGCCGACAGGTTCAGTTGTAACCAGGTAGGTATCGTCAAGGAATTTTCCTACCGTTGATTAATTATTCCTTTTCCTATTAGGCTGCAGGAAATTCGATTTGTAGGGATTCGTGTTCTCTTGGGTTATAGGCGAAGTCATTAAAAGACAACGTCGCTGGCAATGTGGCAACTAGACCTGGATGCACAAAGGCGGGTTGGGAAAAAGTAAGATTTACTCCATCGTCACATCAAGGACCACATGTCCGCGGGTGTCTTACTCTTCTCGAGTCCGAGCACCACGCTGGCTGCGCCGCAAGATGCGCTGGTTACCTTTCCGTACTGCTACGCTCACGGAGGAACTCGGCTGGACGGCATGCCGAGCGACTGTCTCATTGACAGCGAATAGATGCATGTCAGCAGCAGCATCAGTAACATCGGAGTAGCGAACAGGGAGGAATTAGTCCTCAGAGGAGCTATAAACAGATGCAATCCTACGTCGTGGGGGTTTGCAATGGCAGAGCTGGCACCCTCCTAACATAACATTGCTACTACACTATGGTAGGATATGAGGTATTGCGATGCTATGTAATGAGGCAATGGGGTCACGAGCATCAAGTGCGTATTACATTTTCTTGCTTCGAGAACGCAATCCACCCCAACTATGCACGTGTCCCTGTATAGTATAGGACCTACGTACGCTGCATGTCTCCCAGTTTCGACCGGAACGCGACGAGACATTGTGAGTGGTCGAGAAAGCGCCACTCAAAAATGAGACGTATGCATAGGAAGCGGGCCGAGCGAATGAGAACCGAACCCAACAATGGCGACCTCTAGTAGGTGGACAAATCTTGCCTTGACAAGTGTAAAGGAAAGAAGATCGCGAGGCTTTGGAGCGAGTGGGTGGTGCGGACCTATCTGGTTGTCACGCTGGCAGCTCCGTTCTTTCAGGAGCATCGTCGAACACTATCGCAGACTATGGGCATTGCGGCTTCGCGTCGAAAGGGGCCTTGTCATATCATCCTGGATTGACCCATCGCAGAGGGTCGCTACGATGGCAGAGATGGGCCAAGGGTCTGGAGCATGGGAGTAAAAGCCCGGCTAGTCCCAGCGGCAGTGCCCTGGCGCCAGGACCGCCAGGCCCGTGCCAGGGTCTTGGGCTTTGGATCGACAGGAGCTCTGGCCTTGAGGCTTTAGCCAAGGCAAATAGTACCTGCTCGTGCCGGACCGACACTGTCCGCAAGGGATTGGAAAAGGAGGGAAGAGAGCACGAGAGGATAAGGGTGCCCGCCTCGTTTGGATAGGTGCCGAGCGAAGTAGAATGCAATCTGACCGAGAGTGGGATGGCGACCGGGGCGAGCCTGGGTATTCATCCAGCCTGGGGGCTACCTGCCTACGTATGAAACAAGCCGGTGGCATGTCAAGTTTTTGGTGCTGGCGATTTGGTCCATCGCGATCCTCTATACAAGGTGTAAAAGGAGGTGCATGCATGCCGTGTCTCCTTTCTTGATGGGTAGCATATGTGGCAAGAAGCTGGAAGGCACATACATCTGGATGATCGATAGTATCTACAATAGGTGGTATAGCAGTGCATGATAAGAGGGTCCTCCTCTTCACTTGGAGAAATCTGCACTAGACTGTCGTGCGCCTCCAAACTTTTCTCCCGTTCGTGCTCCCACAGTTGTAGCAATAGACTGTTACCTCATGGTGATAAACTGGCCTCGCGTACGACGTGCCCTGGCAAGGCCTAGCCCATCAGGCTCAATCCTGAGGGCCCTTTGTCTCCTAGATAGGTAGGTCTCGATCCCGTCTCGGCCAGCTGGAATTCGGTGCGTCATATCTCATGTTGAACAGCCGCTGGAGCAAATACTGGGGCTGTAATTGGGCGAAAAGCCACTTAAACCCACCAGTCCCCACTTCCTAAAACGCGTTCTCACGCGTCATGATCGTGTGCTGCAAAACGCGTCACTCAGACAACCTCACAGCAGCAGCGGTCGTTCGGCAAAGCCATCCTGATGCCATTGGTCCCTGGGATGATGAAGCCGAAGTTAAACGAGCGTCGCTTTCCCCCAGGAATCGCACAATCTGGGCGAAACTCTCCTCTATAGGCCGAGCTGGCCTGGGATTGGGATGCCCTCCTTCGTCTGATCTTGATACCATTCATGTCTGTCTCAGCGCATTGTCCACTGAGAGTGCGACAGAAAGACAATAAAGTCTTGACAATGCGAAATATCACATGAACATGGGATGTTTCTTTGTTTTGTTTATTTTCCCATGTTTGTTTGTTTTGTACGGAGGAATCCTCGTCATTTGTTGGGGGCACCGTGCAGCAGCAGGGCCTATTACCCTATGAACTATCCAGCCATTCCACTTTTGTAGAGCGCCCAGCTGCGGAGAACAGACAGATCACACGGGCGTCAGATGTTAAACCTAGCTGCTAATGTAGGTCTGTATGTGCGTGCATATGGGCGTGCATCCTGCGCAAGCCCGGGGAATGCATCAAGCACTGCGACCTACCTCAGAAACGATTCTCAGCTTTGCATCAACTCCACCAGCCTCGTTGACCAACAATTTGACGCACCACCACCCGGGTCTGTCCAAGAATGGCGATTCTTACACAACCAACTCTCCTCCCCTTTGGGCTAGGATCATGGTGGTGCGTCCTTAGGTAGGTCCGAGATAGGCGACCGGGTGGCAGAGACAGAGGTGCTAGATGCAGATGGGTGATGTGATGTGATGTGATGCACTCTGGTTCATCCGGCCGCGCTGCAAACGCTCTCACCCCGCCCATGCACACCTGCGGCCTCAAAATCTGCCCAATGCCGTCTCGAATCGCGTCTAATGCTGTGATTCTTGCCCGATGGTGTCCAGCCCACCTGCAGTAGCACCAACGACCTTGTGTCAGCCAAACGCTGGCTTAAGCCATTCTGTTTATCCCCCGTTCATGGTCCCGTTTGGTTCGGCAGCCCCAAACTCAAATCGAAGCCAACCTCTTCACCGCGAGTGTGGCCAATGCCATGCTGGTACGTAGTAATACTCCAAATCAGGGTAGGACAGGAATGGATAGCACGCTGGGGCCCAGTTGGTAGTTCTCACATAGGAAACAAGCTCTTTTCCGTCCACCGTCTTTTTCGACCCTCTCGGCTCTCCAATGAGCTGTCAGTCCCAGGAAGGCAGGCAAGCGCTGGCCTTGGGCCCCGACCCGTTGCGCTACTATCACGGGGTGTTTGAGTCTATGCCATGCCTGCTAGCGCCCGTCAGGATGAGCAGTATCAACCTGCTGCGCGCAAAAAAACTTCGCTATCTCGAAGAGCCCCCTACCGCCCTCTGGGTACTAGAGCAGTAGCTTCACGGTTCTGCGCTAACGGCTGCAGCTGTTGGGGGTCGTAGGCCGGGGACCTTGTCGGCCACTTCACACAATCGAGGTGCTGAGCGCAAGTTGGGAGTGGGTCTCTTTGGGTTTCGGGGAGTGGCAGAGGGTTCACGCCACTCGCGCACCGCTGTAGTTCTCTCGTGGCAGGGCGTGTGGGAGCCATGTAGGGGGCGTAGGTACCTGCCGCTGGGTCTAGCTGGCCGGTGGGCGTCCAGTGAGGTTGCGCGGTTCTAGCGCATGCCTGTCCTAGGTTAGCACCCAAAGCAGCTACGACCTGCCCAGCTACAGCGGCCTGGCAGGTGAACCCCATCAACGCTTCCAGGTTTGCAGGTTAGGTACCTACCTGCTCCATGCTAGAGGTACTACCCTAGGTCTCCACCCACAAGGTGCCTCTAGTGATACCTCCCTGCCCACCTGCTCACCTACAGCAGAGGGGTACCTCCTGCCGTGCGCACACCTAGCCAGCGAGCAGGTACAGTGCCTGGCAGTTGCTGCACTGCTGTCGCCGCGCATCAGCCCACCCCCAAACCCATATCCTCGTCGCCTGCCCGTGCTCCTCTTCTTCTTCATCGCACTCCCCGTCCCATTCCAGTCTCTCCTTTCACCTCAGCCTCGTCGGAGCACATCCGGGAGGACAAGCCATGTGATCCTTGGGTCGTCGCAATCACCAAGCGAGAATTTTCTAACCTGTTACCTTTGGGGCAAAAATTATTCGACTCTTGGACTTAATTCACCTTGCGCCCACCTGCGACGGCTTGCCCGCGTCTTCACCGGTTGCGCCCTCACCAAAACAACCGTGCTGGACTTGACCTCGACCACGCGCCGCCAGTTCTTACCCGTGGCGGACTCGCTATTTCCTTGCCTCGTCTTCAACCGCATCTTTACTTTAATATTCTTTCAACGCCTTACGACCGCCCTACCGACTGTCGCTTGCCAACATCCACGGCCAATTCTCATTGCGCCGACCGAAACCTGACCTTGGTGTACGACCCGATCGCGTCGCTTCATGTCACTTGAAGGTTGACCTGTTGAATCATAACAATTGGAGTGGGGTGTGGGATCTGCGCCTTGAGATTTGAGACCAACCTGTACTGCGACGAAGTGTTGTTGCGTCACCGTCCGGTTTGCTTGTCCAAACGCTCCAACTAGTCCTTGTAGGGCTGCCTGTGCTCTCCCTTAAGAACCACGTCCCGTCCCGGGTCCCCTAGCCGCCCTTATACATTTTCTTTAACATGTCTCCCTTGCAGCGGCTGCGTGCAACGCGGCCGCGCGTGCTTCGCAAGTCGGATGTACCAAAAACACCCGAACCTTTGGCCCAAGATGAGATGGAGGAGCCGCCCTCACCTCCACGCCAGCGATTTCGTCTCAAGAGACGTGTCGGATCGCTGCCAAATACAGAGCCCACGCAGCAATTTCTTGAGCGCGTCGCCGGAGCTGACGTGCCCATCCCAAGCATTGAGGAGCCTGTTGTCTATGACGATAGCATGGTAGATTCGCTTGGCTTCGATGGCCACACCTACCCAGCTTCAGAAGATGGATATCCCTCTGAAGAGGGACACTTTAAGAGAACCTCGCCACCAAAGACACCAGCACCTAGCCATACTCCAGCTCTCTCACCTCAACGTCACCACGACTGGTCGGTTGACTCCTTGAGCGGGATTGAGTCGAGTCCCGAATATGAATCCAGCCGACCGTCAACGGCTCGCTCAACCCAGACAAGCGCCTCACTTTTCAGTCACTTTTCCTTCACATCAGAGGAGCTCAGCGAATGTATTAGTCCCGAGCCGCAGGTTCAGGATCGGTATGACACTTATTTGAAAGTTGAGGATGCTGAAAAGACTGTTCGTGCTTCAGACCGGATTTCAGTCAGAAGAAAAGCGGCTTGGTCCAGAGCTATGAATCAGCATCTATGGAATACTTACTTGGCATATCTCCAAGATCCCAAGGTAACGCCCATTCGCATCAGCAAGAATGGCATGCCACCGCAGGGCGTTCTGCTCCGCGTCTCTAGAGAGGCAAGGAGGACATGGAAAACAACAGAACCAAAGTCACTATCTCTGGAGGCGAACGGTGGCAGCTCAACGCCGGTTGCGCGAATCGCGAACTCCTCCCATTGGCCGCACACTGATGCGGCAACACGCGCGCACCTGCGGGAGCTATGCAGGGCTAATGCTGGAAACACTACCCGCAATGTCCAGTATCTCGCACAGAGCCCCACGCCGTTCGGGAAAACCGCTGCCCGACGCTGGAGCAGGCAGAACACCCCGGCTCACTCATCTGTCTTTTCGGGCAACGACATGGCAGTGTCACTTGCTGTTTCCACTGCGGACTCCATGCAGCCTCAGGGACCTCTGGCTGAGCTCACCCG